TGTAGGGGCGGCCGGAGTTAGGGTGCCCCTAAGCCCTAGGACCCCCCCATGGGTGTCAGTGAGGGAGCCAGGCCAAAGGCTGCTCCCAGCTCCGTGTATTATTGGGGTGATTTCCCCAGTTCCCCTGCTGGATTCCTTGAGCCCCCTGAGCTGTGTCTAGGGGGATGCACCCTGTGCCCCTCCCCTAAGGAGACTCCCCCATTATTTAACTCCATGTGCCCCCCCTCCCAGGGGACTTGTCCTCTCTCCTGTCCCTCCTGCAGAGGCTCTGGCTGGGTCTCTATGAAGGGGACTCCAAGGGTTGGATTCCCATCGATTCCTTTATTATTTCAGTTCACGTGCCCCGGCTCGGGACCCTGTTTCTACACTGCCTAGGAAGCCAGGGCTGGGTTCTGCCCTGAGGACCTCGCTGGGAACCAGGACTTTCAGCTTCCTTTGAAACCACTATGAGCCAGCTCCTGAAAAGCATGGAGGCTCCAAGCTTCCTTGGAGGTTCTGCACCCACGGCCTCCTCTGCAGTGGGGATTTCAACCCTAGCAGCCAGCCAGCCACGTGACCCCCTTGCCTGGCCTGCCAGAGCCAAACTGAGCAGGGCAGCACGACAAAGCTGTGCCGCTGGTTGGTGAGATGCTCCTGACTTGAGCACGGCCTAGAAGCACCTGCTCTGGGAACTTCAATCGGGCAGACAAAAGAGCCGGCCGTGGGAGGCAGCGGAGTTCCTGGGGAACTTGTTTTGTCCTACACTTTGTGAGCCTGCGTGCTATTCGGAGTGATGAGCTCATGTGTGTCTTGGTGATACGCTGCGCTTGCTGCCTGCCGGGGCTCAGCTCCTGAACGGGCACCCAGGGGGTTGCTGGTGTGGGGCAGGTTTATTGTTTGAATGGGCTCTCTTCATTTCCCTGAGCCCAGGGTCTCCTCACCAAAGGGATCCAGGTTCACCAGTTCCAGGTGCCTGCCCAGCTCTCCCCCTCTGTGCAGTACACGCTCCGAGAATGTCCATCGTTATGGAGCTATGCACGAACCCTGGTTATCTCAAATGGAAATTCCTGACCACTTCAGTCCAAACACAGGGGTTTAGGTAAACAATCAAACCCACGTATTAACTACAGGAAGATCGATTTGAAGTGATGACAAAGGAATAAGGCATGAAAGTCAGAATTGGTTACAAAGAAATAAATGATAAAACACAAACTAATACTTTACTTAGTTAGGTGAACTAAGAGCAGCTGGATTTCTGTCACCATATTTTAACAGCAGTCTGGCTGGATTCCTTCCACCAGGACCCCTCTCCAGTTCACCGACACTTCCTTTGTCTTTGAAATATTGTTGAAACCCCCAGTACAGATGAAGAGAAAGATGTGATCGGGGTGGGGCCTCTGTTCCCCATTTTCCTCCTCTTTGAGAATCATCCCCAGCTGGGGTTCAAGTGTCAGCCAGCCTGTTCCTCTGTCAAGCCGTGAATTTCTTGTTCGCACCCTTCTTGCTAAAGAAGGGCTGCCTAACCAGGGAACAGTCCAGTTGGTTTTGCTGACTCCTGGCAGAAGCATCAGTTTGCCTTTTACTTACTGAAGAATTTATTTGTGCTTCTTCCCCGATTGGAAATACACCCGTAGTAACATCATCCAATGGAATCTTATAACTTTACATACAATGTGGCCACACCTATTTTAACAGGACAATAATGATCAGTGAATTATGGATTTTCAGATGATCACTCACAAGGCATATTTTGCACAAAATTTGTCAAGGGCTAATAAAAGTGGTAAACATAAGGGCACAAGGGAAACATGGGTTTATTAAACAGGATTTTGCTGATATGTCTAGTGTTTGGGGGGGAAGCGATGCAGCAATCACTTTCTTAGCAGGCTAATATCCTGAACACATGGGCCCAGATCTGCAAAGGAATTTAGGCACTTAACTCCCATTAAAATCATTGGAAGTTTGGCTTCTAAATTCCAATAACTCCTGGGAATTCTCTCTCCCAGTTTGTTCCTTTTATTTAAGGGACACAGACAGAGTGAGAATGATACATCTAGAAAACAAATTCCCTCCCCGGTGCTACTAATATCCTTTGCACCGCACATAATTAACGTGCGGAACTCACTGCTGCATGGTCTTGCCACAGCCAAGAGCTTACTGGGCTTCAGAACAGGATTTGGCATTCGTTCTGCTGCCCCTTTTGCTGAGCAGTAGCAGATTCTGGGGCCTTCCAGGTCAGTTTCTGGTCTGGAGCAGCCATGGGTGATGCTGTCAGGTATCTCCTTAGTGTGGCTTGTCTGTTTATGATGGGTACAAAGTTCCGGTTCCTTTGAACCGAGGTGGGAGCAGGCAGCAGCTTCCTGTGCAAACAGGGTGACAGCACATGCAGCTGTGCCTCTCATGCAGCTGTCTCCTGTGCCTTGCTTCAGGGAACCACAGAAAA